TGTGGTGTCCTCCAAAGGCATGCCTATGGATCAAAACAAGATGAAAGCAGTGGAGGTTTGACCAACTCCCAAAGATGCTTCTGAAGTTTGCTCATTTTTAGGCCTTGCTGAATACTATCATCATTTTTGGCAATTTGTTCACATTGATACCTCATTGAAAAATCTATTAGAGAAGGATGCCTCATTTGAATGGAAATTGGAGCAGCAAAATGCCTCTAATAAGTTGAAGAAGGTACTGATGACTGCTCTAATATTGCAACCATATGATCTTAATCTCTCTTGTATGCTTGACATTGATGCTTCTGACTTTGCTATTGAAGTGGTTCTTAAATAAGACTTTGGTAGGAACCTTCAATTTGTGGTGTATGAATCACACAAGCTCAGAAGGATAAAGGACAATTATTCTATACATGATCATGAGCAATTAGTAATTATACACAACACAAAGATGTAGTAATACTATCTATTGGGAAAGCCAGTAGTTGTTTGGACCAACCATTGATCCTTGCTATATGATTTGCATCTAGAAAATATGAAATCGCAACATCATCATTGGAAAGAACAATTGCAGCTTTTTGATATCTAGCTTGAATACAAACAAGGGTAACAACATACTATACTAGATAGTTTATCACAAAGACCAGGCTTGTAGAACAAATTGAAAGATAAGGTACAAATTTCTACCATTAATAGCATCATTTCAAATCTAATCAAAGAGGCATGACGGAAAGAAGGTACATAACAAGATACTTATTTCAAGATGATTAGCAATCAATTAAATGTAGATAATATATAATATCAAGATTATATTTTTAGTAAAGGGTTGTTCTATTTCAAGAAGTAAATTTATGTATCCAAAAATGCTAAACTCCAGATGTGCATACTTTAAGAGAGACATGACATCCTAATATTTGGACATCTGGGATAATAAAAAACCATAGAATGGATCTCAAGGACATGATTTTGGATAAGTTTGGATCATGATGTTCAAGCCTTTGTACGATCTTACGAGTCATGCCAACGTAACAAAGACACAATGTTGTATCTTCTAAACTATTGTAGCTAATTCCACTATCGATGGCACATTGACAACAGGTGACTATGGATCTCATGACATGTTTGTTGTTGTCATATTGTAAATGCTTACAGTATGTAAAAATTAATTAGAATATATAATATATTCATAAGTCTTGGTGTATGTTAGAATGATTTAATAGATTAATTTAAAGAGAGTGGATTTAAAAAACTTTATTTTGAGTTTTATCTTTTTAATTATAGCATTTCAAAAAAATTATAGAACCTAAATGTTAGTATGAAGCCTTGAGAGGAGATTAGATCCTAAAGAAGAAATTCTTAAGTAGTAGGAGGCTTATTGGGAGGGATGAAAGCAAGGCATGGTTGGATGAAGGCAAGGAATGGAGACCTTCATTCCTATTGGTTGAAGGCCATGTCTAATGGGCTTCAAGGAGGCTGCCCAAGGCCTTATTAGGGATTAGGATTTTTCTTTCGAGGGCATTCGAGCTTTGGATGCTAGGATTATTAAGTTTAGGTTTTTTGGGTATAAATTTGGTACAAATTTTGTATGATTTGGAATTTTTATGAAGGAGTTATTGGTGCTCAAAGTTAAAGTATCAATTTCATACGTATTGTCACTCTTTGAGGCATAACATATGTTTACATAGAGCAATGAAGGATCGACAATTGGAGTTGGAGAGAACACTTTTTTAACTACACTTTTTATATACTATTTGATGAATTTGGAGTTTGTATGAAGAAATTATAGAGGGTTGAATTTAGTGCATCTAAATCAAAGGCAATAAGTAAGTGATTTTATTTGTAGTAATGGTTTGAGCCATATTTTGAGTTTTTAGACGAATTTTTGGCTAAAACTTTTGAATTAGATAGATTATTGTATTAAAGAGCTATACATATAAACTTTGTGGTATTTAAGTGCTTAATTTGTGAGATATGAAGAAAGTTACATGCAGATGTATAAAAACTAGGGTTTGAAGCTATTGTTAGGATTTTGGTGAAAGATCCATGACAAATTTATAATTAAAATTTATTGTGGTAGTTGTTACAAGTACATCAATATTTCATGTAGAATTTGAGTATTTTTGGATAATCCAATTGGAAGATATAAGTTTTTGAAGTTCAAAAATAATACCCTATAAGGATATTTAATGATTTAGAGGTTTTATTATATTTTTGGTATTTTAGGAAACTTAAAACTTATATATTTAGTGTATTAGTACCTAAAGGTGTTATATGTATATATACAAACTTGGTCTTTCTTATCTCAAGAGTTGATTGAGCAATTAGTGGCAGCTAGGAGCCCAGTACTTTCTTGAGGCAAACTCCCTCTATCTTGACACTGCATTAGTAGAGGGGAATTAACTGTAACAAGATATAGATAATGTAATTATATAGATAATTATAACTATCGAAGTTTTTAGAATTGGAGTTAGGTTAGTGGACTAGGTATGATCCATCGTAGAACATTCTACAAAGGATTTAAGACAATTATTTAGGTAGAGTCCACTCACATAATCTTTTAGAAGAAAGCTTAGGGTGGTTATCCAAGTGGGCCTAACATGGAACCTTCTCAAAAAAGAATTTAAGGTAGTTATCTAAGTAGAATCCATCACCTAAATACATTCTAGAAAGACTTGGATAGTAGGACAAGGTATAAATAGGACTAGCCATGGCTTTTTAGAACATCTGGTCAAGTATGGCTTTCGGCCCTTTCTCTTAGTAAAGTTTGATTTTGCATCTTTTTATTTAGATCTACATTGTTTTGTTTTTATTTGCTTAGTTTGTCTTTCATGCTCTATTTTGTTTAGTTGTATTCATTTCTATTCTAGCTTATATTGTCCTATTTTGTGATGAGATTTTGTGTTGTTGTAGAATAGTAGGATTTTGGATTTTTGAGATAGTTTAGTCTTGTTTTAGATCTTATTCTATCAAACTTCTCAAGCATACTAATCCTTATCCTCATCATACTTGTAGAAGAAAAATTCCTTGGATTTGGTTGTAAGGTTGATCTACTTGCTTCCTTCAATTACACAACTTTTTGCTACACACCTTGAACTTCTTCCATAGGCATAGGAATAATACTTCTATGACTCACATTGAAAATATATAAAATTTCTACTCTTAAAATATTGACAAGCTCATGAAGATCTGTAATAGTTGCAAATCTATTGTCACTTCTAGTGAGAGTAGCATCCATAATCCTTTTTTTTATAGACAATTCAAACAAGTTCAAAAAATTAAATTAGAGGAGGATAATCTACAACCTCTAATATAAAATAAAAATTTCTACAATGAAGAATAATCGACTTTCTTTAAAGAAAAGATCAATATTAGAAAATAAGATTGTTTGTTTAAAGGTGGATAGTCCGTAACCTTCAAAACACAACAATAGAAGTAAGATAATCCACTCACTTCTAAAATAAGATAAAAATAATAAGTTAGCACTCTTATTAAATTATCAAGGACATAAATCTTAAAAAAGAAATCCTTAATACATTCTTATGTCATTGAAAAGAACTAAAAATTCACTCAAAGATGATATAATATTTAACTATAATTGTTATTGCCAAAAACAAGAAGACTAAAAAGTCTTGAAACAAGACTAAGAACTAAAAAGGCATTGACAAGAGTGAAGAAGGCTTTACTCTTACCTCCATATATACTCTTAACTAAGAACTATGTGGCAATGTCTCATAGGACCTCCAAAACATGTTGACTATGCAAGACATGTATCTTAACTTGCAAGGCAAGTTTATTATATGTGTGCCACATAATTAACTTATTCTACAAGCTATCAAGTTGCGGTTAACTTATTGACCAAGTTTTTAATCTACCAATCAACTATAAATACATGTAAAGTCAAAGCAATCTCTATAAAGCTTCTAGGAAGCTTCTCTAGAAGGTATTATAAAGTTAACTTACTTTTATCTATTTTTTCCTACTTCTATGTAATCATATAGGTGTTTACTAGAGTAGGTATGTATATCCGTGAATGTGTTGATTACTTGCAGCTTGGATAAAATTATTTCCAACAACAATACAAAATTACTTTAGGCATATTAGATTGTTTGAGTAGGCACCCAAAGTCATAGAAATTGACAATGGTCAAGAATCATTTGGAGAAGAGTTGGTGGACATAATTTAAAATCTTCTATAATAGAATCCTATATCAATTGAGAAGTTGGTCAATCCAATTGAAGAAAATGGTGCATATTTTGAGTTAGATGATCACAAGATTGTTGAGCTTATTTGTAATTTAAAAGCAAAGGAAGGTGAAGGTGTTGAAAATACCCTCTAGGAAGACTCAATGATAGTATTGTTTATTCACATGGAGAAGCTGAAGAGCCTTTCTATTGTTATTTCTATATTAGACATTAGGGATGTGAGTGAATACACTATTCACAAGATCTTTGCAACATTCAGCAAAAGTTATGTATATAAGGCCTCCAATAAAGCATACTTGATTCCTAGCTAAGCTAGATTCCCTACTATTTTTTTTCCTCCACAAAGTTATATTCTTTTGCCAAGGCTATAACTAATAACTTACAAGAATTATAACTTAACCACCATAGAACTAGGTAAATTCCTCTATTTCTTTATATTTTATTGGGGGTTATAACTTATTGGGAGATAACTTATTGGGAGATAACTTAGCAGAAGTAATATTGTATATACATTTTTATTAAAACACCCAAAATCATTGATATTACTAGAACAGTCATCTTAATCAAGTTTTGTTATTCACTGCGATTCTACAGAGTAATACTTCATGTGGTAAGAAAATATCACAGTTCAAGTTCTCTAGCTTAGGGCATGACATATAAATGGATGACATCTTATGACATAAATTATCCATATTTTTAAAGGAGGACGGAGGAAAGTTGTTTCAGATAGGCGCCGTCTGATGATTGATACCCGGGACCCTCACCTCGGCGTTATTTATACCCGAGACCCCTTTCGCACTCACGGGGGTCTCCTGTCTCCGCCCCTTACGAGACCAGAAAGCGAGAACGAGCGAGAGTGAGCTCCACATCTGCATATCTTCTTGGAAACTAGAACTCCGGGCACATTCTCGGCGTCGGCGACAGTTTTGGCTTCATTTTCAGAGTTGAATCACTCAGGTGAAGTGTGCATAGTTTTTCAGAGTCCGCCCCTCTTGCACCCATCTTGAAGTTTTCCATGATTCTCTCGTGGTTGTATACGCTTTTGAATTTTGACTAGTCTGAATGGTTATATCACAACAAAATAAAGTTCTGCGGTTCTCGTAGTTATTCTGTTATTTTTGCATATAGAATTCAGAGATTGATTTACTAGGATTTTGGGAAGATTTCGTGAAAATAGCACGTCAGGCTTTGTTTCGATAACGCTCCACACGATCTTGGTGCCCGTACCTGAATGTCATATGGTGGTCACTGTTAGTCGGCACATGCTGGGCTTGAGCCATTTTTGTGTGACCTCCACTTGCTCTCTGCAACGCTGATCGCACGATCTGATGCATTCTATTGCACTGAAACAGGGGCAGACGCAGGGAGTTTTATGGGTATCGTACATCGAGGCTGTGAAGGGAATAGTAAGTTGCCCTAGCAGGTGTAGCCTGAATTTCTTAACAATTTGGCAATTTCTGGCTCTGATGTTGACCATATTGAGCGGCTGAGCGGAATTAGCCACGCAAGCAATGGGTGCAGTTGTTTCTTCTGAAGCGGACATCGTAGATGAGCTGCACCAGGAGCCTGAGGCAGCTCCATGTCATCCATCTTCCTCTCCATTGTCACCGCAGCTGTCTCTCACTCGAGGAACATCATATCTTGGACCTTTGATTCGAGTGTCAGACCCTTACAATATCCTTAGTCCTAGCAGCTCTTCTCCAAGAGTGCATAGCTCTTCAAGACTTCAAAGTATGAGCAACGCAGCTTCTCCTCAGCGTTCACCGTCTTTCATCCCTCCCAGCTTTTCAGGTATGATCTCTTGATGTCCTCTCATTATTGTGAATAGAAAAAGCTCTTCGTTGATTTAGGAAGCAATTTTCCAGGTTCATGGTGATTTGCAAACATTGTTTTATGGGATGGATAGCAGGGGCTGTACTCTTCACTCTTTTCGTCACCTTTTACAATGAGCATTTGATTGGACGCCGCAATGCTTACGCTTACATGTGAAGCAATATGCAATATACAGCAAATGCTTATCCAGCCAGCTTCAATAGATCACCCATGTTTTTTGTGTTTTCCAGGGGCGACCATTTGCACGGAGATTCATTTTATCAGACATGCTGAGACCTCCATGAATGCTAAGCCTGAGTTAATAGCAGGAAGGAGTCCATCTGCGACGCTCACGAATTTGGGTAAACGACAAGCTCGAGCTCTAGGTATCCACTTGAGATCTGCAGGGATGGATTTTGACGCAGTGTACAGTTCTCCACTCGAACGGGCTAAGCAAACAGCGTATGCAGTGTGCCAGGTAATCAAGCGTTTGCAATTAGTTCTAGCTATATGTAGAGTTCTTTTTTTCTGTTAGCAGCTTACTTCTCAAGCTTTTCTTAAAACCCTATAGTTAACCTAAAAGATAAACGCCGCGTATCGAAATCTTAAATTAACTGTTTAAATAATTTCACCCCTCCTCTCCCCCCACCTCCCCTTGGACTAGAAAAAGCTGACTTGTTACTTTTGATTTTGAGGAGATGACGATCGGAACTGAATGACAGTCTCAAGGCAATAGCTGCAATGTCGCTACTACCATGTCTATTTCAAGTTTGTCCTAGATTCTGCTGCCTGGGATGTTGACAACTTTCATGCTTACAAACACTTGGTTTTGAATCTCCAGGAGCTGGATATACCCTGTGATACAGTGGAGCTGGCTGAAGCGGTGCAAGAGCTTAGTCAAGGGCAGTGGGAAGGCCGGAATCGCAGTGAAATCTACACTCCAACAGTGGTTCCTGTAGTGAACTCCACACAGCCAGATTTTCGAGCACCTGGGGGAGAGTCGCAACGGCAGGTGGAATTTCGAATGATAGAGTTCCTGAACAACGTAGTGCTTCCCCGAGCATCCTTGACTATGCAAAAACCAAGGCGTCAAAGAGGCAGTAGAGAGCACCTGAGCAAGATTCATCATACTTCCACACAGGTAAGCGACCATCTTGTATAAGCAAGCAAATGTCAAATTGTTTCCCTTCCATATTCTCAAATGTCATTCGCTGTACCTTTCTTTCGTTAATTTGTGTTGTGAGATTCGTTAAGTAGATCTTTTCTGTGGAATGCAGATTCATCCTCTGGAAGATATGGATGTCTCCCAAGCTAAGGACTGGGAAGAGTCGGAAGTAACTTCCGAAAACCACTCCAAGGCACCCATGGGATACATTCCGGACAGCACAAGTTCAAGTAGCCTGAGTGGGTCTCCAGAAGATTTGCATAGTGATTTGTCGAGCGTTCCCTTCACCGTCGCTGTGGTCAGTCATGGCATGGCAATTAAATGTATGTTGCGAGGTCTGACGGGGTCCGATCCCCAATTCACAACCCGTTGGTGTATCGATAATTCTTCGGTAACTGTAGTCCGGCATTCGACCAGGAAAGGATGGGAAATACAAAGAGTTAATGACACATCGCATCTTCGCCTTCTATAAGCTTTGTTTTAGTTTAACCGATTATATGGTTTCCCACTTGATATATGTCTACTTTGTACATACTCTCCTTTGTGTGCCTCGCCTTCTTCTCATATACAAAGACCTTTCCCACCAGATGGTTAAAATTACAGCTGCAATCCATTATATGCATGTGGATCACAAAGCGTTGGGTTTCTGTGAACCATAGAAAATCCTTAGATTGTTCAAGTCCTCGTGAACTTTTGATTTCTCACATTGCGAAATGGCAATAAATATTTTATTAGAAAGTAAGTCAGCATAGACCATTCCATAATGTTTGCACTGAAACATGCTCGATGGCTAGTTCATACGAAAAATGACTCTCCTGTATAGTCTTCATATCTTTGAGTCTGTCTGAAACTTTACCCGGTGACTTTTCTCTGCTTCTAAATACCTTTCGGCTCACAGTATTAGTCTAATCTTGAGATTTTCGAAGACAGTGCATCTCCGATCCATCTGAGCGATGTGCGTTTTGAGCGCTATAGTACATTCCGGTGGATAGGAAAAATGTGGTGAGTTTGGGTTGATCGAGACTGAATGATGACTGATAATCATCTATCGACAGAGACTTCACACAATGGGCATGCTTCGTAGAACCAACACTTCAAGAGTAAGACCTGGTCCAAATCCGATGAAGAAACCAAAGTCGTTGCCCTCTCCAGTGGTGGAAGCACCCATCTTCATTGACCGCTGGCGGATCTGGTCGAGAACAAACAACACGGACGAGCTGGACATGTTGCCAAACTCAGACAGAACATCTCGGCTACCTTGCATTTTGTCCTTTGAGAGCTTGAGCTTGGCCTCCACCTGGTCCAGGATGGCGGGGCCTCCAGGATGCACAGCCCAGAACATATCATTCCAGTCTGGGGAGCCCACGCACTTCCTCGCTTCGCTCAAGAATTTCTCGATGTTTTTAGATATCAGCCCGGGAACGTCCTTCATTAGGTGGAAGATGAGTCCAGCCTCGGTGAGATGGCCATCGATGGCGCCATCGCTCTCGGGGAGGATCGTCTCACCTGCCCAATGAACTTCGAACAGTGGCTTCTCCTCTGGCTTGGGATCCGCGCCTACAACGAACACAGCTGCACCATCACCAAACAAGGCGGATCCCACGAGGCCGTCGAGATGGTTTTCGTTGGGTGCACGGTACGTCACGGCGGTCACCTCACTGCATACTGCCAACACTCTGGCATTTTTGTTGTTCTCGGCGAGATCCTTGGCCACCCGCAACACAGTAGCGCCCCCGAAGCAGCCAGTTTGATAGAGCATTACACGCTTCACGGTTGGCTTTAGTCCGAGGAGCTTTGCCATGGCATGGTCGGCTCCGGGCATGTTTACACCACTGGTAGTGGCGAAGACGATGTGCGTGATCTCGGACTTGCGCCCGCCCCACTCCTTGATGGCCTTCACTGCCGCTTCGGCTGCGAGCTTGGGAACTTGGACCACCACAATGTCGTGACGCACATTGAGGGATGGCTCCATGTATGTGGCGATGCCGGGGTTGGCCTCCAACACCTCTTTGGTGAGGAACAAGTAACGCTTGCGGATTCCAGATTTGTCACCTGTCAGACACAATCCGCCCAATCATGAAAATCAGACATCGGTTTCCAAATTCTCCAGGAACCTGAAACGCTGCAAAATGTGTCCATGACTTTGTACACCTTTACTTGTCCACAAATCCGATCAACTGTGGCAGAAATGACGCCCTCACCTAGAGGCAAATTCTGTCATATTTTCCGTTCTGGACACGACCCAACCAGATGGAATTTCATACGATGAAGTAGCAGATGAGATGAATGAGCTCTTACAGATTCGCTTGAATTTCGCCTTCAAGGCTTCCTTCTCGCTGCACTTGGTGACTTCAAAGAAAAAATCAGGGTACTCGCTCTGCAGGAACTCAGTGGGGGGAACTGCAGTCCCTATGCCCAGCACTGAAGCTGGCCCTTCCGCCCGGGGTTGTCCCCTGGGGAGCACGCTCAACGCGATCGGCTCTTCAGCCGATGCACTGATGGATTCTCCACTTGGTGGCGCCATTGCTCGCTGGCACTAAACCTCTCAGCAAAGAAAAACACACACACACACCTCTCGAGGCGTGCAGAGATGCTGCTAGTAAGACCTGTGCAGACCCTGAGGAAATAACACTCGAAATAAAAATGCTTCGACAGATCTCTAGATGGTGACACCTTCAGGTCCAGCGCTGATACTCCACTGTGAGCTTGCGGGGCGGCAATATAAGTTGCACTGAGTGTGGAGAGTGGGTAGAGGTCCATGGCGTCGCCTCTAGTTGAAATCTGATATGACTCTGAACGCTTTGTCCACCTCTTTTTACCAGAAAATTCCACTTTGAGTCCCACTGCAATGGGAAAGGTGGTCAAAGCGATCTGCTGGGCTCACAAACTCAGTTGATCTGGGCCACTAGGGTCGTCGCGGATGCGCGCACTTTCTTCTTTCTTTCGGTGTTTCTGGTTGACTCCTTCCTTGTCGCAATTTTCATATTCGCCGTGCTCTTAGAATTTCTCAGCCGTCAACCACGCTGTGGACCTGCGACGAAGACCTCGACGACCAGAAAAATGGAGAAATTTCGCCGACTTTGCTCCCCCCTCTCCCCGGCAGTGTGAGATTTTAAAGCGTCAAGTGAAATATCATTATCAATCCCTTTCTGTTGTTCGATTTATAAAATAAATAAATAAATAAAATACTAAAATAAAAAAGAAGAGACTAAAGATAAAAATTAAAACTTTACAACTTTTTAAAAATACATGTATTATTTAGAAGAGTGTACATTTTAATGTACTTCATATATGATGTATAAAAAAGAAATTGCACGAGTATACATTTCATGGATTTTATTTTATCTTTTAAAATATTTTTTATTTTATTAGTAATTCTTGTATACAGTAATTGAATAAGTACTGTATAGACTCCAATTATTGGAATATTTTAGAAAGTTACTAATCAATTAAAAAATATTTAGTTTGTTCAATAAGCAAAAATGATATTAGTTATTTTTTATATTTCATTTTTATCTTAAAATTTTCAACTTTATAATTTAAATCTTACTAATCTTTTAAAAACTATATATATATATATATATATATATATATATATATACAAAAAACTGTAAATGTATATAAGAATTTTTTTTAGATATTAATATAAAAAATAATTTTTATCAGATACAATTAAATTCTAAAAATATATATATATATATATGTATGTATGTATGTATGTATGTATGTATGTATATATGTATATATATATTCTTAAGTCTATATAGCAATAATAATCTATAAATAAATAAATAAAATATTTTTAAAAATATAAATAAACTATGTATAAATATATATATATATATATATATGTGTGTGTGTGTGTGTGTGTGTGTGTATATATATATATAATAAATTACTAACTGATTTATGTAAAATAAATTTTAAAAAATTTTAAAATAATTTCTACATTATTTATTATTTTAAGATAGAAAGTATCATTTATTATTATATTTGAAATTTAAAAAATAATTTGACATAATTAACTATGACTTCTAATAAATCATTTACAATTGTTTTATATTTTCAGTACTCTTAGTTTTGCCTCTAAGTATAAGAAGTTATGTGGTATGTTGTATATTTTCCAATCTATTAATGCTTTGAATATAATCTATTTTCATGTTAAAAAACCTAAATTTTATATATATTTCTATCTAAATATGAAATGATTCTCTGGTTTTTAATATTTCAGATTACATAATTCTTAATATAAAAAAACTTGATTATATATATTAGAAATAATGTAATATATTTTAAAATATATCACTTAAAATTAATGCTATTAATAGTTTATATATATAATTATTTCTTAACTTATAATAAAACTAAAATTATATATGACCAATAATTTTATTCTATTTTTATTAATATTTCTTTATTTAATTCTATAATTTTTAATATAAAACTTTTATTTCTTTTATTTATTATAAATTTTAAATTTTTTTAAAAAAATATATTTATATTTTACATAATATATTCTATAATTATGCATATTATTATTTTATTATAATTTATATAATATTAAAATAAGTAATATTATAAAGTAAGTTGTATTGTTAATTAAATACAATATAATTCTTTTAGATCTTAACAATCAATTAGCTTAGAAAATAGATTTTTTATTATATATATATATATATATATATCTTATTTTTAAAAAACTATTGCACATAAATAATAATAATAATAATAATAATAATAATAATAATATATCTAAGTATTTCTAATGCCTCTACAATTTTAGTTAATATTATCTTTTTGATACTTCCACCACAACTACTTTATTTTGATTAAATATGTTTATATTGAAAATATTAACATCTTTTTTTATTGTAATAAAAATAATTAAATGAACATGTCAAGTGGAAGGTGGATTATGCTAATAGTAGCAAAAATTGTGGTGGCATTAGTAAAACTATTTATATATATATATATATATATAGAATATAAATTACTACACAAATAAATACTAAAGGGCTTGATAAGTGTACATGGCTATTGACCAATGAGCCATGTACACATTGAGTAAATTTAAAGCAATATTGACATTTATTAATTAAACAATAAATGTCAATATTCTCAACAATATATGTTTTTTCCTAATAGTTAAGATAAAGGCAATTGGAAGAGTTTTTTCTATTGAATATATGCATTGTATTAGGATTATTTGTGCTTTTATATTAGAAGTATTTGCTAATATACATATATATATATATATATATATATATATATAATATTTTCTATCTATATTTTATTTTATATACGTATATATATATATAATCATTCAAAAGTATTATAAATTCAAAGAAATGATGTATATTAACAATGAGATTAAGAATGCTATTAAAAAAAGGTATCCTTAGTTTTAAGTGCCTCCTCATTAGAAATACCTAGATATATTATTATTGTTTTGCCTCAGCAAGAGTGGGTGTGAGAGTTGCTTGATAAAACCAAGAATACATTCTCAAAGGATACACATCCACTAATTAGAATCTAGAAAGGGTCATGTTTCCAAAAATCAGAAGAAGAGTAAACTTCTTCGCTTTTGAGATAGAAGTAAATCATGTAGGAAGTTTCACATGGAAGTACGAGCTGAATATTAGCATTTTTTGACTAGTAAGCAAGACATAGAAGAGTTTGCTAAGTTCTCTCAGCTAGCTCCCTGATGAACTTGTTTATGTGGATGTGACAATTTATCTTTGGTCCAATCCAAGCACATGGGATCCACATGACCACAAGTACTATAATGTTTTTAAACATTATATTTTCTAGATCGAAACATGTTTTTAAACACCGAATCACTGAGTTCATTTTGGCAAGGTTTTCAAGTTAGTGTTTAATTTTTGAGCTTCTACAATCTGAAAACAGCAAATGTTTACGAACCCTAAGAAGACCAATGCAAATGGAGGGCTGCGAATTTCTCAACAGTATTCAAGTCTATTTCGAAAGAGATTGCTTGATTTCATGAAAATTTTCAGATAATGCGGTAGATCAATTCTCAAAATCTCTGGGATTAAAAGGAGTTGCGCACCTTTGGTAGCGCAAGCAGCATTCATTTTCGCAAGAGCACATATTGCACAAATTCTCTCAAGGCGAGATTAAGTTGACTCGATTTCGAACTAGTTATCTTCAAAGTTTATCAACCCAACAGAATATACTGCACAAATTCAACTTTCAAAATCGTGCTTCTGGAACAGAACAATCTCAATGGTCCAGTAATCTTTTTCTGATTTCAAAAAATTTAATTTCCTTAATGTAGAATAACAATTTCCAATCATTAATACATATCACGATGTACCGGTCGTGGATTACCGCTTCTATACATAGGCCACGATTAAGTGTCCTAACTGACCATTTGATCAGAAAAATGAATCATATATGGTGTTTGAAGGTGGTGGTGATCAGATATTCGAGACAACTCCTGCAACCCCACAAACTCTGTCTGAATACCTAAACATGCGCTGTTTACATTTAGAATGGTTTCTTCTTAGGCATCGATGCAGCACCAGCTATGCCCTAAACTAATTCCGGATCTATTACAATCAAAAAGGTTCGAGGAACTAATATGTGGCGTGCATGTAGTAAGTATGAATTATGCTATAAATATTAAAAATTGAAAGGCAGATGAATCATAACAGGTTCTTGAATGTAAGGTGGGCTTCCACAGGTCGATGGTCAGAAGTCTTCACGGAGCTGATTGCATCGTAACTCCGCAGCTCCGCCTTGACGTTAGTGGTTTTATAAAGGATTCTATCAGTCCAAGAAGGTACACGTTCCTGCACATCATAAATGCATGTTGAGAACCTGAGGTAAACTTAACACCCACTCAAAATTCAATCAAGTCTGAACGGCTCCAACTGACTTCTATGCACAACGTTTTCTAAAAATGTTGGAAAATGAAAAGTGTCCAGAATTAACCTTGGGACCTGTGTCGTAGTTGTCTGTGCCAACATCATATTTGAATGTAGGTGCGAACAGAAGCGGTCCTTCATGAAACCCTTTGAAGGCCTGCCCCTTCCGCAGTGAAACAGATAACTGGTCTTTCGCCCACAACTGCTCAAGGATACATTACGGACTGAATGAGCCAAACAGATTGTAAATACACATCTGTCTCCCACAAATTCTGAGGGAATTGAAACAACACAGTGAAGTGAGATGAACGTGTTATCAAGCGATCTGTAACTTTAAAATCCTCTACGTACCTCCTGCAGGTTTTTGTTCTTGATCGAGTTTTGGACGAATCTTCGAGGCAATTCCAAACGGTAATTCAAGTCTCCGAGCCAAATTACTACATCAGACTCCTCCACAACGTTAGATGGCACTCCCGGCACCCGATAATTCAAGTCATCTGTATTCGTTCCAGGTTGGAAGCAGGAGTACACTGATGACCTTGCAAATAGGCTGTGACATATGTGTGCGCATTGAGCATTGCGAGCCTTCAAGTTGGATTCGTGCGCTGCAATCAGAACATACTCCGTCATTCCAAGATCAAAAAATTAAAATATAAATAAATAAATAAATAAACTCGTCCCTACCCAGCCCAGAACGGGGCTTCATGCGGACCAGAATGGAATGTATACCCTGCAGTAGATCAAAGATCAAATAGACACCCTCAAAGCAAGGTTCACAGACATACATCACGGGTACAACTGAGTTGTAAAAGACTTACCAGCCAGATGTGAAGTAATGAAGAGGAATGACTTGTCTCCAAAATGAAGGCGTACTGCTGCTGCTCCTTTTTGTTTACCCACGATACCACTTAGACCTTTTTCCCAAACTTTATCTACTTTTACCCCTGTTTAACACAAGCACACGATCAGAACATCCACCTTGATGATAAATAGTTTCAGGTAGAACGACTATGTATCGTTGATTAACATATGGATCTTCGAGCAAGGCATTGTTCTGAAATGATACCGGAACAGCTCCATGAAAACGAGATTTACCTGAAATAAAAGGCTTAAGAGATCGCTTGGAAAAAATAAATAGCTGAAGTGACATCAAAACAGATGACTCAACCAAGCTGTACACGCAAAACATAGTACTTAAGGGAAATAATCAACTTTTTTTTAATGAACATAAAAACCAACCGACGACGTACAACATATTTTTACTTCTCACAACTGACGTTATTCCTGTAGCGCAAGGAGATTAATGTAATCAGCATCTTGCAAAAAACCATTTCGAAGAGATGAAACGCAACATAGGAGAATGAGATTCGCACCAGTACTTATCACCCAATATCTCAGATATACAAGTTTTGGCGTCAAAATTCGGTGCTTCCTGAAGGCCAACGACGAAGAAGTCGTGACTTTCTCCAGATACATCAAAGAGATCGGCAAAGTTGTTGGGAACCTGAAATCGCAGGGCACTCGGCTTAAATGGTCTTGAATATGTGGAAGGGCGTCATTGAAATATCATTTCACAACAGTGACCTTGGTGATTGCAAGCAGTCTAGACCCAATTTGGACCGGCAACCGAAGAATACGCATCCCAGACCAATCTAAAGACGCATTAGACTGACATCTCAGAATGCCTTCAGAAGTAGACTCACAACTCTGATGAAAGGATCGAGTGATAAGAGCAGTAAAACCTAAGGAGGGCATACAGGACAAAACGTCACAATGTGAAGCTCACCTTGCCATTCATGTTCCACGTCACAACGTATACATTAAGATCGGCAGCGGTACTAGGAGCAGTCTCCCCTCCCCTAGGGAAAGACTTCTCCTTGGCGGAAATCACCTGCTTAACACCTGTTTGTTTCGCATCTCTTATCACCCTGTCGCCAATCAGCGGTTTCGGGACCTCAGGGACGACCGCGGCTCCTTTGGAAAACTTTCTTTCTGCCCCAAGCTTTTCGACAATCTTGGGATCAATCAATTTCAGCTCAGAAGGCAACGGAAAACAGGGATCAAAGCAATTGCTGTACAGATTCTTGTGGCAGGACAAGGCGGTTTCAGTTGCAGCATATTTTCTGTTGAAAGTCATCAGATTACTATTCTCACAGTCTAGCAAACCCCTCACAACTTGCTGGCCGTACTTCACAATCCACTTGTTTCGTTCGTGGTGAAGGACGTAGTCATCAGCTCTTCCCACACAATTCCCCATTTTCGTAGGTGGGGATCAAAATGCGGTAAGTTCCCTAATATTGCAGCTTATGTACGCCCCATCAGTATCCTGGAAAATATGAAAGAGGGGATCCAGATAGGTATAAATGCTTGCATACTTAGAAGCTGAAAGAAGTCATCCGGCTTAGACTCTGCATGTATTTGGCATTCGATAGCACAAGAAGATGATGCGATGACCTCGTTCAACCTTTCGAATGTCCAGATGTGATCAGATGCGATATTGGAACTACCCTGCCAGTATTCGAAATCCGTGCAACACGGCAACTTCAGGCCCTTAAACTGAATGTGTTCTATAGGGAAACATGAGATATTTCTGTTGTACCATAAAGGCCTTCTTGCCAAAATACGTTTCACAGAGGATGCATTCACTTAGTCGTCGAACTCCGCTCCACAAAGAGCACCTAGGGAACTTCTTCTGCGGTAAGCCCGTTGTCCAACCACGTGAACGAAACACTTCACAATGCAGGACCAAATTGCGCAGTTGCGCAGGCAAGTCGGCATATTCTACCTAAAACACCCTCTTCAATCGAGCCTGCAACTGCGATCCATTCGAGTTCCGCCTAAGCCCTGTTCCCATGATTCTGCTAGCCCGCCCTCGAACCCCAACAACACACGACGCACCATTTTCCCGGAACTACTAAACGAGAACAACTTGTCCTTCACGGCAGCAACGCGCAAACCCTCAAGACCGACACATCGTCAAACAATCTCCTGAAGCCCGAGCGGTGTCCCATTGAACCCATCCTACACACGAACACCACTGCTTCAAATGCAGTGACGACGACGACGACGACAATGGTAATGAAAGTTAGTGCAGTGATTGCCAACCGTTATTCTCTTCGAGGTCTCCACACTGTGCGCGTGGAGAAGCCATAAATAGAATTTGAAATGTCATCGCTCAGGAGACGCTGCTTCTGAAGCAACCGATCGTTGGAGGAGTTTGGTACGGGGGGGTCCGGGCCCACCACCATGAATCCGACCTCCCACTGACGCGGCCTGCGCATCTATTGCCTGGTTGCGCACGTCGCCCCTACACATTACGAGCCCAACGACATCATCATCCTCCCCCAGGGCTTGAGCTAGGGCAATGGCTGTGGCTATGGATGTTGCATCATCCCAGCAGAGTCCCTTCCTTCCTTCATCTCCTATTCTTCCTCGCCATGTGAGCTTCGCTGCGGCCAGCGACCTGCATTCATGGAGGCGTTGCGCTCTGCCATTCCAACTGACGGGTCTTCTGAGTCGGGGATGACGAGCTCCGCTCGCTTCGAGCGGGTTTGTTGGGATGACGGGCCGGAGAACCCGTGAGAGCAGTGCGGGAGAGAGAATCACGCTCTCTTATTATGAGCTCTTTGCCCTGCTGCTTCCTAAATTTGTTTCCCACCCTTTGACATGTTCGTAATTCAAATCCCAGAGTTCGAATCCTTTGGGAACGTGCTCTTTTAAGAATCGCCTCTGCCCGGAAAAACCATGACAGCCGCTTCCAAAATGCTTCGAAACTGTGCTCGACACAACACCCTCCAATGAATGAATAAATGAAAGTAGGAATAAGTGTTAACAGTGAGCAATTCATATCTAACAAAATGTATTGACCTTTTCATGTTAATTGTAAGCCGAAAGTGTTGGCAAAGATGGCCCTTACCACTTATATCAAAGCCCCTCAAAAGACTCAAAAGAACAGTAGTGAATAAAGCAGTTGGGATGTGTGTGTTATCCATTCAAAATGCCACCATAAGTGAGATGTGATGTATATTCTTGCAATGCAAACACATTCTCAAATGCACTGTTTTGATTTAGTTTAATTGTTGAAGAGGTTGGTGCTTCCTAAGGTAGTTAGGAATGCATCCATCCATCTAAACATAAAGTGCTGGTAAGCACAACCCACCTCAATATAAATATTAAAAATATCAATTGAGGGGGGGAATGTGATAGGCTCATCACACTCCATGTGGATTAATTGGTTTGATTGACACAAATAAGTTTTTTTTTTCAAAGAAGGAGGACGAATTCATAGACACCCTAGTCAAGAGGAAGAATAAAGGAGAAGAAGGAATGGAAGTGGGAAGCAGTGGGTAATAATCATCCATCCAAATATATCACACCAGCATTCATTAAATGTGATTGTGTGTGTACATATCCTGCAGCACGAGTACTGGACAAGAGAGAATGCATGGTGAGGAACAGACAAGGGATTGGAGGAGTCCACAATCACCCCGTCCAATCCTTCTCAATCCTTCTCCTTTGCTTCCTTCTTAATTGATTGCTATTATTAGTAAATCTACTGTTTTACATCACCTATTCTGGCACAAAAAGCTGCGGTGAAGGAAGTGAAAGCTGTTGACTTCCCGTCTACTCCACAATTATATACATATATATATATATATATATATATATAGTAATACACATAAATATGTATGTATGTATTTGTATGTGGGTGTGTGCATGTCTTCCGTTTTTTCCATTCTGGCTTCTCAGTCTTCTTTCATTTATGGAGAAACTAGACAACTGCTCTCCTACCACTACTCCAGGCCAGTTTCTAGTAAGTATTGAATGAAAGGTGGTGAGTGCCAAATTTGATCCTCATCGGGATCTTAGTTTTGCCACTCCTCTTCCTGTCACCGCTCATGTCCCCCACTCCACCCACTGAGAATATTTCGCTTACCAACAAAACAACCTCCAGGAATATTCATCACGAATTAGTTCTAGAAGAAATCACCTTCATATTGGTTTAGGAAATCCATTTTTAGGATTTCCTTCCACATTATGTTAAGGAGATGAAAAAGGCCGATAAGTATATAAATATAAGCTTATTATTTATTATTTCGTAATTTCACTATTTACACATGTTTAAAAAAATTATAGGTGATTTTACATCATATGTATTCTTTAAAACTATTAAATTTAAAAACAAAGAAAAATAGTTCCTTTTCACTTCTGGGCAAGGAAATGTAGAACATAAACACCTGATACACATTAGTGGATTTGATGTCCCACTTTGCTCAGTAAATTTCTATAACACTTAATGCTGAAATCAGAATAAGTTAAATTTGTAACTGAGTAACTTTGAAATTCGCCTTTATTGTTTACAGGTGTAATGCCCAAAAAGTATTTATTTCATAAGAATAATAAATTTTCATAATATTAAGAAGCCACAAATTTATTTTTTCTAGCAATGTTTCATACATTGCTTTAATTTTACATTTATTAAATAATGGCTAAAATAGCACTAAATTTGATTCATGTGTTTAAAAAAACTCTATGTTTATACATGGTAAAAAACTCATTTGATTATTTGGATATTTATAAACAAAATATAAAAATAAAAAAATGCGGTAGACATATATATATATATATATACAATGAATTAAAAAATAAATTAAAAATACTTATTTTATATCATGTTACTAAAGTTCTTACTGGTCAACACAATGAATTCACTTGCACATTTTTCAATATAACTACAATAGTTGCTAATAGGATGTACTTCAAATTCCACTATCATTCAAATGTAATATTGCACATAAAGTATACAATTATCTACCTTGGTAATGGTCGTCAATTTTTTTGTGTTGTCTTTTGTATAATATATATATATATATATATATATATACACATATTTTATAATTATAAAAGTTTGTAAATTTGTAAAAACATTTTGTAAACATACCAAATGTTTGTATGTATATATATATATATATACAATTTTAACAACTTAGAATGTTTTTTCATACTTGTTAGATATGTTAATATCCATGGATGCAGTAAAAATCAAAATAAGAGCTTATAAAAGAAACATTTGAATCTAAATAGCTATCATGGAAGTGATTTACAACTTAGTTAGTGAGTTAGTTAGTTAGCTTAGTATTTAAAAATCATATAGATAATCTTCTTATTAATTAATATATAATATACCACTACAATTTTTGGTATTGCTACCACAACTTCTTATTTTTAGCATGCCAATTGCATCCTTTGTCAATGCTAAATAAAAAAAAAGATATTTTTTTATTCATACATATATATATATATATATATATATATATATATAGATTATTAATTTTTTATTATTTATCATGAACTAATTTTTTAAATTAAAAATATTATTAAAATAAATGAATAAATTCTTATTAATTTTAAAAATAAAATTTTAACATCATGAATTTCTTTATGAATTAAAAATCTAAAATAAAATATGAGAAATATTCTTATTATCATTCTTTTAAATAATTAATAAATAAAAAAGATATATTGAGTAAGTGACAAAAGTAAAAATTGCGGTAACATTAGTTATATCTTTTATTATATTCTAATCTTAGTTCAAGACTATTTAATCTCTTTTTTCTTTGTAGTAGTTTTTTTTATTATCATTATTATCTTGATCAATCCCTCTCTCTCTCTCTGTATATATATGAGATAACTTGGGTCTAATACAAAGAAACATAGAAGTCTTTTGCTTGGCTGTGAAGAAGAGAACTTAGAGAATCCTAAGAACATAGGAATAAGGAAACACTGGAACATGAAAATAACAAAACATGGAAATAATGGAACATGAGAATAATGAAACAAGCAAATAACGAAACATGGGAATAATGAAACAAAGAAAAAAATGTAATATGAGAATAAGAAAATATAGAAATAAGGAAACAAAGAAGTATTGATAATTAAGAAAATAGATGGATGTGCTAAAGATTGAAATGCTCAATGGCACAGGCTATGGTTAGTATTTATACAAGTATTGATTGGCTTTTTATAAGTTATTACATACATATGCTTCTAACAGTATAAATCAATTATATATATAATTTTAAAGCAAAAAAGACAATTTCCATAGAGGTACTAAATTAAGTTATAAATTTAAAACTATCATTATTTGAACATTATTTTTTAGAATTTATATTTTTATATTCATCTAATTAATACATATATTGCTTATGTAGAATTTTTTTTTGTGCATTGATAATATATATATATATATATATATATATATATGTAATAGCACAAAAAATATTAATAATGATTATAAGATTTTTTAATTATTTATTTTTTATTGTAGCAAACAACATTGGTATTTAAGATGTTAAAATAATGATACTTTGGCCACTTTATAGAATTTAAAAATAAACGCACATATATATATATATATATATATATAATCAAAAAATATATGTACTTTAAAATAGTTTTTACTTTTCTGAAATTTTCAAAAAGAAATTCATAGTCTTCTACAATCAATTATAAATATATGCAACATTTAAAAAAAGTTATTCAAAGATTGTTCTATATTTTAAAGATATTTATTTATTCATTTATTTATTCATTTATTTATTAGCTTTTGAAACCTCTTCTCAAACATTCTATAGAATATAATTTTCCTTGTTTAAATAAGAAAGTAGCAGAAAAAATACCATCATCTTGCCAATACAAATATTTAAAAATCTTTAAAAAAAAATAAAAATATATATAATTTGATGAAATATAAGTCAAGTCTCTTTAAACACAAGAATAAACTAAGGTATTAAGATAATTTATGCATAAGTTGTAAAAACACTAAGAATATTTCTTAATATTTTTAAAGAAGAAATTCAATCTTCCATTAAAAAGTATAGTTGCAAAAGTAGATTACATATTTAAGATTTTGTTCTTTAAGATACAATAGTAACTATACAGTTTGATTCTTGCACAAATTATCATTTACAAACTATAGAATATCATTAAGATAAAGTTTTTTAATATTCTATAAGTTGGTTTGAAAAATCATAGACTTTAACTAGTTCAATTAAAGGACATGGTTTATTTTTAGTCTTTGAATTATGATTAGTTTTAAGAAAATTAATTAACATTAATATAAATCTTATGAAATGAAATACAATGCAATATTTTTAAAACTTCATTAATTTATTAATTTAACATATTAATATATTAACATATCAATGCATTTAACATATTAATGGATTTATATGGTACATTTTTATAAAAAATCCAAATTAATACATATATAATATTTTTATTAACTATAGTAATAAACTATGGCAATGATATTTTAGTATTTCCTTCCTCTTCTTAAATATTTTGGTACGTCTTTTTAAATCCCTAGGCTTTTGTTGATGAAAATACTATTAGGAACTTGTTTTTAAGTTTCTAAATTGAACTCCCATCTTCTCAGTTGAGAAGAGCCTTAGATGATACTAAAATATCCAAGGGAGGATGATACTAAAAAAATGTGTGCAAAAATTATAATAAAATATATATTGTATTATCATCTTGTTCTAATAAATTCTTAATTCTAAAATTATTAGGTTGATATTTTACTTAATAAAAAAACCTAATTGTTGTTGAAATTATTTATTTTTAAAATGTTACTTACTATACATTATAATGTTTTTGGTATGATTATAATTTAAAAATTAAGTTTATTACCTTAATTGTAAAATTTAGATTATAGAGTTTGTTTGTTTGTTTGTTTTTTTCAAAAAATAAGAACACAATTTTTTTTTAGCATTATTTTTATTTTTTTTGTTTTTATTTAGAAATAAATCAAAGTATTCAAAAGTGCAGCATTTGACCATGGAATTGAATATTTGATGCTACACAATTTTGGATACTAATACCTTGTGTTCTTTTAGAATTTTACTAAAACAAAAATTTACTAGATGATGTTCAATACAAGATAAAGACTAGTGTTAGAACAATGGGATAAATTGTTTTTTTTGTGTACATGTGTAGAACATCATCACATCAGTAATTTTCTTTTTATAGAGAAAAGCCGTTTTTGCTAATAACAGATATATGGTTTTTTTATTTTTTTTTTACAACCAATGGATATGAAAAAGTTTAAATTATTACAAGCATTGAGTTCGAGGCTGCAGAAAATAATCCCTAAATAATAGAAACAGATCAATATTTAAATTTTTAATGTGTTTTGATGAATAAAATGAGATATATTTTAATCTTTAGGATATAAGATCTGGATATAAGACCCGGGTTGGAATGTTTTAGTATATTTTGGTAAAATTTTAATATTTAAAATTTTAAATCTTAAATATTATAGTCAATTAATGTAAATACAATGTCAAAATAGTTTAATAAATATTTTATTAAGAAAATTTATTTTATATGGCTAATTATGGTTGTGGTTGTCATTATTGTCATTGTTATTGGTTTTTTAATTTTTTTTAATTTTTTATGAATGATTCTTCTCCAGGGAATATAGTTTCATACAGAATTGTTGATTTTCATAAATTTTATCTTATTATATTTAGAAATAACTATTAACAGTTTTTATTAGAAATAAAGTGAAACGTGCTATATAAAACTATATTTCCTAGAGAGGAATTATTCATACAAATAAAATAATAATAAGAATGGTTAATAATTATTTTCATGTTGTGAATTTTATTACAGGTGACGTTGTTGGATGATTTTTGTGGAACTTTATTCACAACAAAGATGTTTTTACTATGTAATAACGAAATACATGTCTGCAAATATAACAAAACTTTTCTTCGTAACTATTACATATATTCAAGGAAAAACATTTATAATATCTTAACCTAATTCACTTAACAATTTATCTTCAAGGAGGTTCATCTATATTTTTTTAATATTTTCATAATATATTCAAGAATGATTCCATACTAAAGTAGTTATGCAATGTTATTAATATCCACATGTTAATAAATATAGAACTAATATGGTATTTTTCACAATATATTTTTTAGGAAAAAAGAACAGTGTATTAATTCAGAACGTAAAAGCATACAAAACGTTTTAACAAGCCAAATAAAATATACTACCTCATGAAATTATATTTGTGCTCGAGGGCCTAAACATGTTTTGGCAGGTTTGCTGTGTCTTGAAATGCAGGCAGCCTGGGTATCAGAGAGTATCTACGGATATCGCCAGTGTATCGTCCGGGTACAGGTAACCCTTACATGGACTTACTTTCAAGGCTCCTCCGCCCTCATTGAAACTCTCTTTGCGTCTCGCTGCGTAGCGTCACAGCCCCACAGCTCGGGTCGAGGATTAGACCATCGACAATGGCCACCCCCACGGAGTCAGTGCAATGTTTTGGCCGGAAGAAGACGGCTGTGGCCGTGACCTACTGCAAGAAGGGCAGAGGTTTGATTAAAATCAACGGGTGTCCTATCGAGCTCGTGGAGCCCGAGATTCTCCGATACAAGGCGTTCGAGCCCGTGTTGCTCTTGGGAAGGCAGAAGTTCGCTGGTGTGGACATGCGCATTCGCGTCAAGGGCGGAGGTCACACCTCGCAGATTTACGCCATCAGGCAGAGCATTGCCAAGGCGCTTGTGGCGTACTTTCAGAAGTACGTAGACGAGCAGTCGAAGAAGGAGATTAAGGATGTGCTTCTGAGGTACGACAGGACTTTGCTTGTGGCTGACCCCCGCCGCTGCGAGCCGAAGAAGTTTGGTGGTCGTGGTGCTCGCTCTCGTTTCCAGAAGTCTTACCGTTAAGCGGCGGGTCGATTGGAGTGTTTACAGTGGTCGTGGGGGCGGTGTACGTGATTCGTTGTCTCTGGTAGGGGGTTTTTTCCGGAGTTTTAGGTTTGGATCACCCAAAAGCTGTGTTCGTGGATCATATTTTTTCTGGAACGTTCCGTCTGCCGAAATGTTTAGAGCTGTCTGACCTAAAACTGGAAACGGAGCCTCCCTTGTTTTTCTTGCCTATGCCTCATTCAGGATGGAAACACTGCCTCCTTTACTTTAGCCTTACGCACTGTGTTGATCTTCTGCAGTCTTCTGTATGCATGTCAATTGCTTTTTTGCTTCATTTTCTCTTGTATGGGATACCGCTCCCTCTCAGTTATTTACCCTTCTTTTAGGGTTTGGGTGAAGTGACTTGTTACTCGTTTTGACCTTGATGACGAGTTAAGTTTACCTAGGGAATAATTATCAAAAAGTTTTATTTGATTCATGGGTGTGATAATATCACTGTGTACATCGCAGTATCTGCCCGTTAAGTTATTTTATACGCGTCTCTGGTTTCACTAAGCATTGCTTCCATGTTCATAGACGTATTCTAGCTAATTAAGGAACGGACGATTCAAAGCACAATACCTAACTATAGAGATTCTTACCTTCGCTGAATGATTTAGGTGTGTTGTTCGCCATTTAGGTCTATTTTTCACATGTGAAGGGGATACCATCAGTAGCCGTAAAAATTCTACCTTGTTTTCTTGTCGCCATCATAATGCTAGCTAATGTTTATTTTCATTTTTTAGAGGTTTCTAATTATTGAAATGCTTTAGTTCTTTGTCATGAACTTTAACCTAAACTTTGAATTCCTTTGTCTATGTTTAGTCTCTGTGGAAGGCCTACATTCTGATAATGAAATTCCAGTCTTCGTGTTATTGCTTCTTTCATCAAAGTAGGTTGGACATCATTGCTTCTTTCATCAAAGTAGGTTGGACATCGTGTGGTTAGTTGCATTAGGTCTTGATTGTTCGGAACTACGTAGTTGGTAACACATAATTTCCTAGTGTTGTTAAGCTTGTCTTGATACTTGGCAAGAATCTGCAGTTGTGACATTGTCATTGAAGGGAGAACTTGGCAGACTTAGTTGTTATAGATGGTTACTAGTCATATTGCGTTCTTCATCAAATTGTCAGTAATCCCTAGTGGTCTAAATAAATTTCCAACTTGCAGTCTTCTCATTTCTATGTAACAATTGTTGATGGACTATTGTGTGTTTGTTCCTCTTTTTCAACAAAGGAATGTACAAGCTACTTGTCACGGTTAATACTACAATATATACTACAGCTAGAGTATTTAGAGTCTAGTGGAGAAGTACTGTTTATCTTCTTTCTTTTTTTCTTCTTGTATACAAGATACAACTAGATCAATAGAATTTTTATGTGTGAAGCTCTCTCTCCTTAGAAACCCTCTTGTGTGTATGACTTACTACTATTCTTGCGTGTGTGTATTACTTACTATTATTCTTGTGTCTTTCTAAATATTCTCAACATGTTGTCAGCACGACTCTCTTTTACACACTATCACAATTTTTTTTGTTCTAGTCTTGACTTTTCTTGCTACTCTTTGCTCAATGTTTGCTTCATGATCTTGCTGTTCTTCTTGTTGGTCCCCGCACATTAGCTGCTTGTTTAGGGCACTTGTTCCACTCTCTGCCCTGCTTGCTTAGAATACTTGATTCAATCCAGCTTCACCTTGCTCCTGCTGTACCTCGCATTTGCTCAATAGCCATCGAATTGTCGCCAAACTATCGTCGTTGTTGTTGCTATACTATCGCCACTAACACTGCCGCTGTTGCCTACCCTGTCGTCGCTACCTGCTGTCGCCGTCCTATTGCTGTTTTGTTGCTTTAATCCACATTCTCTCCTTAAAAAAATTAAAAAAATAAAATAATATTTTTGTTTTTTAAGTTCAAGTTTATCATTTTATTTGACTTTATATTTAAAGGTACATTTTATTCAACTTTTCTACTTGATTTTGTATTTTCTTTACAGATTTATTTATAATGAATGGTTCAACATTTTTAACTGCTTCTACTATGGTTCCAACTATTACTAGTGCATCCCAATATTTTCAAGCTCTTTTATTTCTACCATTGACTATGGATGGAAACAATTATCTATTACAAGCAAAAATGGAAAAAATAAATTTATTTGTAGAACAACTCTCGAATGCCATTATGTTTGAAGAATCTCCTGCAATAAGTATTTCTATTCCTCCTGCTATTCGTTGGAAAGCACTTCTTTTCCTTCGTCGTCATCTTGTACCTACTGTCACGGCCATAATCATGTAAGTTAATAATTACATATAGAAATAGATAGAAGTAAATAAAAGTAGGTAAAAGTAAGTTAATTCTATAATATTTAATATGGAAGCTTCATAGAAACTTCCTAGACGTTGCTTTGACTTCATAGGTGTCTTTAATTGATTTTTTGGATTAGAAACGTGGTCAACAAGTTGGCCATGTGCCACACATGTTGTTAGCTTAAAGATCAAGCTAACTATGTGGCCCACACGTAGAAAAACTTGCCTTGTAAGTCAAGGCATGTGCCCTACAAAGTCAACACATATTGGAGGTCCTATAGAATGTCGCCACGTAGCTCTTAGTTAGATAGTATATATAGAGACAAGAGTGAAGGCTTCTTCACTCTTGTCAACTCCTTTCTTGCTTCTAGTCTGTTTCAAGGGTCTCTAGTTTTGTTGTCTTTTGACAATAGCCATTCTAGTTTCTCTTTCAATATATATACTTGTTTATATATATTATGTTACCTCTCTTTGAGTGAATGCTCACTTGTTTGAATTGTTTTTTCATCGATTTCTTGTCCTTGACAGATTGACAAGAGTGCACTTACAATATCAGAGCTTTGTTTTTCTTGAGTAAGAGTGGATTACCCCTTTCTCTTGACAAGACATAAGTATATTAGAAGTTTGCGGATTACCCACTTCTAAACTGATATTGTTCTTAGTATCTTCTTTGTTATCAAGTCTTTTCTTTTTCTTTTGTCTTGAGCAATATCAGACAAATTTTTCTTCTTAGTATCATTATGGCAGAGCTTGATGAAATGAAGAGTGCAATGGCACAAATGCAAGAACAATTGAGGGAGTTAATACTTGCGATGCATCAACTCAATTCACCAACACAGGAAAGAACAAGAATAGCAGAAAGTGGAGATATAGAGATGATCGGAGCTGCTTCAACATCTGCACCAAATCACATTCCTTCTCCAATTGTACAACACCATGTAAGCACTAGAGAACCAAGAATTGCTTTACTCAAGAAATTTGATGGTACAAGATCAAAGTTTCGAGGGTTCATCAATCAAGTACAATTGGCAATTGAACTTCAACCGCAAAGCTATCCAACTCCAGGATCACAAGTCAGGTTTATTGGCACTCTACTTTCTGGTTCTGCATTATCGTGGTTTTCGTCTTTTCTTGAACAACGAAATCCAATATTGGACAATTTGGAAGCTTTTTTGGCGGAGTTTCGATCTATGTATGGTGAACACGATGCAACTCGTGTCGCAACAAACAAGATCCGAATTCTGCGACAAGGAAACCGCTCAGTAACAATGTATGCTTCACAATTTCGACAACTTGCAATTGACATCAAGTAGGATGATGCTGCACTCATCAGTCAATTTTTTTATGGATTGCAATACGAAGTAAAGAAATTGATGCTCAACTTACCTGATCCTCAAACTTTGAGTCAAGCAATCGATTTTGCGATAAAATGTGATAATCGACTTTTCGAATTTCAATCCAAGAATCATTCACGGGAATCTCAACGTTATTACTCAATGGCAACATCAACATCTTCGCCAAACGTACATTCGAAAGTAGAAGACATGCAAATTGACGCGGTACGTTTTAAACTCCTAACTGAGCAAGAAAAGATTTGTCGTCGTCAAGAAGGATTATGTTTATACTGCGGAGAACCTAAGCACACTGCTCAACATTGTCCAAAGAAACAACATAACTATAAAATGAGGGGTACGGCGGTCAAAGAAGACAACATGTCGAAAAATGGATTTGTCCAGCTACAATAGGGACAGTGCAGCTGGAACCTTATACAATTCCTAATGAAGGTCCTATCCTCTCCTCAGAACCCTCTTCTTGTTTTATAATAGAATTGTATTTAGGACCAAAGAATTACAAAGCCTTTGCTTTATTAGATTCTGGAGCCTCAGCATGTTTTTTAGATGAACAATTTGTTAAAAGTCATAAAATACCTTTTGTACAGAAAACTAAACCCGTACATGTAGAAGTCATTGATGGCCGTCCTTTGTCTTCTGGAGATGTCACTCATGAAACTCGCCCTATAAAAGTAACAATAAATGGTCATGTTAGCTACATAGCTTTTAACATAATTAAATCCCCGTCCAATCCAGTTATTTTAGGTTTATTCTGGCTAGAAAAATATAATCCTCGAATAGATTGGAATTCTCGTAAACTTGACTTTTCCCAAAACATTATTAATAGTTCTACCAAGCAAGTAAAAAGTTATAAATCTAGTATAGTAAAACCTGTACTTATATGTACAAAAGCATTTATACACGCAGCAAAAGAAGGATCAACTTTTGCTATTTATACTGCACCTATTTCTGAAAGCGTAAAGACTTCAAGTGGCATTCCAAGTCAATATCAGGATTATCAAGACGTTTTTGAGAAAAAAAATGCAGATATTCTTCCTGAGCATCGTCCATATGATTGTTCAATCGACCTCAAGGAAGGAACTCAGCCACCATTTGGACCAATTTACAGTTTATCGCAAGATGAGTTGGCTGAACTCAAGACATATATTGACGAGAATTTAGCGAAGAATTTCATACGCCATTCAAAATCTCCAGCAGGAGCTCCAATTCTATTCGTAAAGAAAAAAGATGGATCTTTGCGAATGTGTGTTGACTATCGAGGACTCAACAAGATCACAATCAAGAACAAGTATCCATTACCTTTGATATCAGGACTCCTTGATCAGTTGAATCAAGCTAAGATCTATACAAAAATAGATCTAAGAGGAGCATATAATCTAGTACGAATTAAAGAAGGAGATGAATGGAAGACTGCGTTTCGAACCAAGTACGGGCATTTTGAATATAATGTCATGCCTTTTGGACTCACGAATGCACCAGCTGCTTTTCAACATCTCATGAATGATGTATTTCATGAATTCTTAGACAAATTTATCGTCTGCTACCTAGACGATATCCTGATCTATTCTAACAATGTCGAAGAGC